GGGATAATTGTGGAACCTGCCCAGTGTGCTTCTGTGTTGAATGATGTCTTTGTTAGATCATTCTCAGCTCTTAGTAACACTTATGTGCCTCCTCTAACTTCTCGGAATTTTTTACCAATGGACCCTATCTTCATTGATGTCATAGGAGTATCTAAGGTAATAGATGTGTTGAAGTGTCCATCAGCCGCAGGTGTTGACGGTATTAACTCTAAATTTCTAAAAAGCACTAAAATGTATTCGGCCATCATTCTTTCTAAGCTATTCTCCCAATCACTTGAGTCAGGGTCCATACCTGATGATTGGAAGACAGGGAAGGTGGTACCGTTTCATAAATCAGGTGACAGCCATGACCCATTCAACTACCGTCCCATCTCTCTAACGAGTGTTCCTTGTAAAGTCCTCGAACATATCATCTGCTCCCATTTAGTGTCTTTCCTTGAATCAAATAGTTTCTTCTCGTCCGCTCAACATGGCTTCAGAAGACCATTTTCATGCGATACTCAATTATTGTCTTTCACTCATGAGCTCCACTCCTTCCTTGATAACGGCTCTAGCACTGACTGTGTTTTCTTAGATTTTTCAAAAGCCTTCGATAAAGTATCCCATAAGGTACTAATCCATAAGCTTCGCACTCTAAACATTGATCCTTATGTGCTTGATTGGATTATCGCCTTTCTATCTCATCGGGTCCAGTTCGTCAACGTAAATAATAATAATTCTCATTTGGTGCCTGTCGATTCCGGTGTACCGCAAGGTTCTGTAATTGGTCCCCTGTTGTTTCTAATTTATATTAATGATCTTGTAACTAATATTTCCTCGCCGATCTGCTTGTTCGCTGACGACTGTGTCCTTTTCCGCAATATAACTGACCATTCTGATGTAATTCATTTGCAATCTGATCTTGACGTCATAGCTCTCTGGTGCAACTCTTGGCAAATGGAACTTAACACTAATAAATGTAAGTCAATGAGAGTATCCCGCTCTAACAGTTTATGTCCTACTTATAGCATTAACAATAAATCCCTTGAGTCTGTCACATGTTATAAATACCTTGGAGTCCATGTAACCTCTGACCTTACCTGGAATACACACGTCGAATATGTTGTAAGAAATGCTAACCGCACGTTGGGTTACATAAAACGAAACTTTTTTCAAGCCCCTTCTTCTCTTAAACTAACCTTATACAAGTCCTTAGTCCGTCCTAAATTAGAATATGCGTCATCCATATGGGACCCTGGTCACCAAGGTCTTATCAGCAGATTAGAAGCTACACAAAACCGAGCCGTTCGTTTCATCTTATCTAACTATCATCGTACAGCCAGTGTAACATCAATGAAATTAACTTTGTCACTTCCCAGCTTGTCGTCTCGGCGCAAAAGAGCTCGTTTATGCCTGTTTCACAAAATTTATCATCACATCCCATCTCTCCGTTTGAAACTAATGCTCGAGCCCTCTTACCGTTCATCCCGTCTCGACCATATTCACAAGGTAGGCATACCTAATTTTAACACCTTCAAATTCAGCACCTCGTTCATACCTCGCACATCGACTGACTGGAACCACCTTCCCGCTTCTATTGCAGATATTAATGATATTTCACTCTTTAAGCAATCACTTATTAACAGCACCCTTGGTTGATTAATTACGTTTATTTTATTGTTTGCTCACTCCCCTCTAAAATGTACTCTGTACCCTGAGGGTAAATAAATAAATAAATAAATAAATAAATAAATGCATAGACGCCATTTTACCGCCCAAGTCACGCACCGAGTGCGCCAGAGCGTCACGCGCTGGCACATTCAGGGCAACAATGGATGTCTTCACGCTGAGACAAAAAGACATGTAGGCACCCTAAGGGAACTTTGACGTCAGCGCACAGCTGTTGCAGCGGCGAGGACCCTAAGCATGGTTTTCAAACCCGACGAGAAAAGAAGCGGTAGCGCGAGGAACGCGAGGAGCACGAGCGGACACCCCATCGCTCGGGGGAAGTGTGTTTCGGCGTCTCGCCGCAGCGGGGCGCCCATCACGTGGCTCTCCTTTCATCCGTTGTCTGCCGCTCTTCCTTTTCAATATGCCTATGGCTATATTACCCAAGCATCAAGGAGAATGCAAGGATTGGTGATCCACTCGCCGCACGTGCTGGCGTCAGCAGTCGTAACTTTTCTAAAGCAATTGCCTAAAACAAATGGCATCTTGAACGCGCAATCTTCAATGCTTTCTTTTGGTTATTTACTTCAATTTTTTTTTTTTTTTGTATGGGGAAGGCGTGCACGTGTGACGCGTGGAACACCAATCCCTGTATTTTCCTTGATGCTTGGGTAATATAGCAATAGGTCTATTTCGGAGTCCGCTCCTCGTGGTGATCTGCCAGGCCTTGTGAGTATGGAGTAGGCCATGACCCCGTCTAAAACGTCTGCAACGCTCACAAGACGCGACCATGAAAGAGCTTTTCTGGCGTCTCATCATGCAGAATCAACGCTCCAATACACAAATCCTTCAGCGTCTGTCAATGTGCGGTCAAAAGCAACCGTAAAAGCTAAATATACATATATATATATATTTTTTTTTTCGCATGGCATTTGCGAGAAAGGTGGGTGAGCGTCATGATGCCAAATTAAAAACCAACATAAAAATGTTCGCTTTGTCCCACCAGGTGCACTGAAAAACTTGAGAGTTGCTTGCATTTTGAAGCGAAATGGCGAGAATATACCTGGACAAACTTGATGCTAGTCGAACGCCTGATTGCTTCTAGTCAAAAGGCTCGAAAATTCTTACCTGTGTAGGTATCTTCACCGTATTGAAAGCATGGTTGCGATCACGACGGTTGCAAAATCCACAACGCAGAAAATATGTTGCTTCTTTTACGGGAACCGTCATCTTTATTTGGGATCAACACGCGCAAACAAAGAAATCATGCCACATCAAGCCAAATGGTTCACGTGGGACGGCTAGGCTTAGGTCAGTGCCGCTACGAAAACAAGTACACGCACAGCGCTTCTCAAGGCGCGTAGTTGCGACAGTTGTTTACTGCAAACTATGTCGGTTGATATCTTGTTTTAAACACCTTTGTAAACTCAAAACGAGCCGTACTCATAAATACAGACGAGTTCAAGAAGCTACGCTCGTTGAGGACTCCCAAGACGCCGGAAGTCATGTTTCTTATAGTTTCAAACCAAAGCAAAAGAAGCAATCTCGGAATAATTTTGGAAACAATAATGACTCTGCCTAAATGAATTCTTTTTTTCAAATATGAGAAAAGTGGATTAAAATACTATTACGGCAGGAGATACAATTTTACAAACAACCTTTGACACGTCAATCATCTCTCCAGCCAATGAGATATGTAAGCACGATGTAAGCTCGGGGTCGTTCTCTCCGGCCAATGAGATATGTAAGCACGATGTAAGCACGGGGTCGTTCCTAGAGGGCTGCGACTTCCACCTTCTGCTACCAAATTGCGTCTAGCGGCGTAAATAAGCTTAAACAAAATCTTTTTCGTGGTAATTTTTTTTTATAAATAGGGATTCCGCCTAGGGATTTTTAAAAACAAATTAATTTTTCATTTCAGTTTTCTTTAAGGCATCACTCTTATTCCTCGTAAAAGTAACCCCACTGGTTAGCTTCACACAGAGGCGTATATGGGGAGAGTTTGGCCAGTCTATGATCTCGCCGCCGTAACGACCCCCTCCCAAGTGAGCCAAACAGCCCGCGCCGCAGATCGAGAGGCGTGAGCGCATGCGCGTGAACTCTCGGCTGCTCCCAGCTGAGCGGGGGAGGCCGCCATTTTCGATTCATTCGCCCGGCGGAATGCATGGGATCGACATCCAAATTTCGATTCTTTCCTTGTATTTCGCAGACTATGGCAAGAAAATGATATAGTGTTAATTCTTGGTGGCTTAATAAGCTAACGAATGAAGTTTCTCCACTTTTGAACGCAAACTTCCGTTCAGGCGAAAAAGAAATAAGCCCGTAGCAGACGACGCATAGCCTCAACAGTGCTCGGCGCTGACAGCGTTGCGTCAAAATGGGAGTCGTCTCGTCTTTGCTCCCTTCTTTGTCTCCCGCTCTTTCGGCGCCCTCTCCTCCCTTTCCTTCACTTTTCTCAGCTCCGGCGCCTTCGTCGCCACACCCACTGGCCAAACTCTCCCCATATACGAGCCTGACTTCATGGGGTGTCCAACAAGGAAAGCGAACGGTGTTTTAGACTTTCTAACAAATGTGTTGTGTGCATGTTTATACAGTCTGAAGTTAGGCTGCCTCAAGGGGCGACTTGTCTTTCAGCTGTACATGAGCAATTTAGCCATCCACTTAACTGCCTGTTAAGGGTTAGTTTCCCCAGGATCGCGTCCGTCCTCAAATGACCTGATGACACAGAACTTCGGACAGCTACCGCCATCTATGAGCGACGGCGGCAAGCAGACAACCGGCTTGCCGGCTATCTGGTTACCGCCGTCGCTCCTAGATGGCGGCAAAATTTCGAGCCTTTCCACCCTGGCTTGCCGACTTGCGGCCGGCCATTACTTCATTCCCACCATAAAACCGCTTCGCAGGTCTTCTTTCTTCACCAAAGTAGAAAGGCTGAAAGTTTTTTTTTAATATTTTTTGCTAGTTTCTATTTCGAACATTATATTATTTGTCGCTGCTTAAGACGCTAATTATATAACCAAATTAAATACTATCTTTACCTAAAGGCTGCGCTCCTCAATAAACAAGCTTCGTTACTGTGACTATGGATTTGCATGTAATTCTCAGTTGTTTTATCAACACCTTGGCAGATGAAAAATCATATTTGTGAACTTGTTCATTGTACTTCAACGTGAAAAGCAAGCTAAATAATAGACAATAGCTGGGCCGTTATGAATTCGCTCAACAAACAAGCAACTCTTTTGAATACCAAGTTTGGAATACGACTTTCCATTTATTATCGCTAAATGACATACAATAAAAGAAAATCTCTGAATTGGCGCAGATATTGACAATTCAACGTAATTTATCTTCAGCCGAGGATTTCCGCTTGTGTCTCAATCCAACTGCGAAAAAATGTGATGCTCCATTTTATGAGTACAATTCCCGGACACAAACCTGCGAGAAAAGTAGTGGTGAGTACTGCAGGGGATTTGAATCTTCCGAGGATTGCTACAAACGCTGTGGAGGTAAGTTAGAGTTTTGTTAATTTACTGAAAACTTCGCACTTTTATTTACAATCAATAGTAGATATGGTGAATCGCAAAATAGACTCCTAAAACTGCACATCTGGAAAAGTAGCTTCATTTATTTTTTTTTGCTTATACTTTTACATCGTTATCTTGCATCACCTATTTATGCCAAGCACCCCCAAGGTCAAATGTTGTCTCAAAACTTTTATTCAATTAACAAAAAAAAAATTCTACAAAGTTCTCGCGACGCCTCAGATCCCCTGAAATGTGCTGTCCTAACGTAGCAGACTTTTGATTACTCTATAAGTATTGATGGACGCTATACCTCGGTTACCCTAGTACAAAATCTTATCTCTATGAGAGATGTTGTGATCGAATAATCGCTTATCATTAAATAAGATCATATAACAGGATATAAGAACCTGATAAGAACAATATAGGATTATATACGATGTTATAAATAAACTTCTTATCAGTTCCTTAGAACTTCTTACATACTCTTTATGGCTCTTATATGTTCTTATATGATCCTATTTGATCACATGCGTTTGCTGAACTAAGATATTTCTTACACATATAACATTTTTTGCTAGAGAAGTTTTTCTTAAATTTTTTTTTAATAATTTCTATTCCTTACACCTGCCCGTCCGGACTTAAATTTCAAAGACCGGTCCTACATATATACCGCTTTGGTCGAACTATAACGCACGTAAGCTAACTAGGCGACTTCGGCTCATTCCAGATAATGGTTTACTAAATTAGCCTTGCAAGAACTGGCGGATCCAATATAACGATTAACTGACTTCGATTCGGAGTAACATAACGCACAAGAAACTGCGACGCGTAAAGAGAATCACAGGTGTCGTGCGATAACGCTCTTCTTGTGCCCGTATTTGCCTAATTATGTGAGACTTGCATCTCTCCTGCCTTATTTAGTCACTGACAGCTGATGAAACGTGGGACGTGGCGAGTTCCGAGCATCTCATTATCGCTCCGCAGCCAATCAAAATTGCGCACTTAGTCGATAAGAACCCCAAAGAGCTAATCACGAAGTAAGGAGAGTTAACATAATTACCCGTACTCTGAGTTTCTTCGGGTGTCAGTGACGTATAGTAACCGGCAGCTTAAGAACATCAAGGCGTGGCTTTCCACGTTCATACCCCCTTGCTTCGTGGTTGGTTCTCCGGCGTTCTTGTCGACTAATCCCGCAATCTGTTTGGCTGCGAAGTTGAAATTAGATTATCGGGACTGGCCCTGTTGGGCGTTTATTATGCCCGAGTCCCACTAGAGCGACAAATAGATACATACGACAGTGAGAAGCCCCAAAAACATGCAGCATGCTCGCAATGGTCCGCTTGGCTGGCGTTTAGTCGTTCGTTGCTCGTGAAGTAAGCACGAGTGATTACAAGCCTGCCAAAGATACCCTCGCGTGCAGGATGCCCGTGTTTGAGCAGAGCCTCCTTGATTCCACAAAGCCGGTCAAATCGTGCAAGTGTCTGGTTTGAGGCTTGTCGCCGTCATTTGTTTCTGTTTGTCACTCTAGTGGGACTCGGGCATTCGATTCTTAGTGATTATAGCGTTTAGTTTTTTTCTTCTCATCTAGGTAATATCTTGTTTTGCAACATGTTCTAGGGCGCAGCTCTTAGGGCCTGTTTCCGGCTTGAGCGGCGTCGCCATCGGCGTCGCCATCACCGTCGCCGTCGCCGTCGGCGTAACCGCGCGTTACATTATGGGACGTTTCTCAGGATAAAATCACACGTGATGTCACGTGTGTCGTCACGAGGGTCAGGAGTGACGTCATGAAGGTCACTCGTGAAGGTCACGACGAAGGTCACACGACCTTCACGAGGCCCTCACGAGTGACGTCACGAGGGTGCAGGAAGGGAGGGGGAAGAAGGGGGAGGAGGAGGAGGAGGGAAGGAGGCAAAGGAGTGGGGGAGCGAAGAGGAGTAGGAGGGGCATATCCTCCTTTCCGTACCCTCCCCTCCTCCTTAAGAGCTGCGCGCTAATTCTGCATTACAGGGATTTGTTAACGTATTTCATTTTTAAGGTACTGATCTAGATGAAACACTTAACACAGTGCTTACTCTTATCGGATTAAATATGAAAGACATTTAGGCAACCGTTTTTGTACATCCGATGCGGCACTGCGCATGTGCTCCCGCATAAGACTCGTGCATATGCAGTTCGTGCCGAAGGCCTCGCCGTACCGTTTTGGATGCTCGAAAACGGTTTCCTAAAACTCTCTATTGAATGGTCACGGTTACGCCAGAGGGCTGTAAGACGACATCCTCGTCCCTGGTGGACTTCGGGGCATAATGTGACATAATAATTAAAGAATGACTAATTTAAATTCCATTGTTCGCTTTAAAGTTTTAGTTTCTGTTTTGCGGCACATGACACTTTTGAACTCATATTCTGCCATAAAAACACCCCAACAGTTTTTTTTCGATTTTGAAAAAAAGAAAGATGTTACACGATACAGTCGAGAAAATCGGCTGTTGTGGCGCGGGAAGCTGAAATTTCCGGGTGGAAAAAGCTTCGAAAGGCCTGCCTAACACGTGTCACATACGGCTACGGCAGCTGTAGATCCCGAGCCCACCTGGCACGATAATTATATAACAAGTGCTCGCGTTAAAGGGCGGGTGGCGCGCACACGCATATACGTTCGGTCTATTTTTTTTTTTTTTTTCGGCATCGTTTTTTTGTTGGAGGCTGGGAATGGCAAACAGCTCCTGATAGCAATGCCATACTTCTTCATTTTTTCGCCACCTGTATTATGTCAACACGGAGCAGAGACAGGACACGAGTGCTGAGTCATTAGTTCGGCTGGGGCTCGCATTCTCACTGATACAACCCGAGTTCCAGCTTAGTGTTGACGGAGCCCTCGTGTCCAATCTCTGACCTGCGTTGGCCTTCTTTACGTGACGTAGACAACCCAGCGGTAAGGCCTTGCTATGTAGATGGCGTTGGTATATGGCGCAACATGACAGCTTACTCTTCTTCAAAATTAGGGGAAGCAGTAATATATTCCTCGGAACATCAGAAGTAATACGGCATAATATTACTTTGAAGCCTCTGCCTTGCTCATGCCAGTTAAAAGTACCACAACATAAAAATAAGATAACCGTAGTTATTGCTTATTTCATCACGCTACGCTCGCACTTTGCTATTAGGAGTGACTGACAACGTTTGAGAGAAGAAGCAACTCTGTCTGAGGCGTAAGGTTCCGAGTGGCTCGCCGAAAAATAGCCTGGATATCTTAGTACATTATTGACACATTAATATAATGGTCCGTTTTTGGTGGTCTAACTTGTTAATATCGAGTATTCTGCGGGGTTCCTCAAAGAACTTTTGTGTCCCGTTTTTATTTATAGTTCTCGTGGACCAAAAATGCAAGCTTCCAATTCAAAACATAGGGGTCTGCGAAGAACCTAGTACAAGGTACGGGTACAACAAACTCAGCGACAAATGCGAGGAATTTCTAGGCTGCGACGATGGCGGAAACAGTTTTGGGACAGCGAAAGAATGTTGGAGACTCTGCGCTAGTAAGACACATCCGTTTAATATTATAGTGCCTGGAGCGCGTCTCCGACTGGTGTGTTTAGCGTCCTATCCCGCCCATACATCAAAAGTGGTCCCAACGTGGCAACAAATGACGTCACAGAAGCCGGAGTGTAATGCTGTTGCATGTCGCGATCCTGGCGGTTGCTTGTAGAAATTCTGACTAAAAACACGGGTGAACGCGAGTGTCGCTGTCGTCACGGCGTTCCAGGCGTTCCAACTTCCGGCTGCTTTTGCTTCCGTGGACTGCCGCATTGGAGAGCGACCTGCAGCAGAACAGGCGTCTGCCACATACATCACAGCTATTGAGACGCCGCCAGGTTCGTGACCAGCGATAGCATGACACTTCTATGACGTCATCAGGCGGAAATCGAGGGACCACTTTTTTGGACCCGGTAAACACACCAGTCGGAGACGCGTTCCAGGCACCGTAATTAATGTCATTATTTACAAGTTGTAATAATTGTGGCGCACTTTCTCTGCAAACATGACTCTTTCTTGCAATGCTTACGCGTAGTTTTTTTGTTGAAAAAGCAAACAAACGATTTTTACTTTATTTCGTCTGAAGCCATATGTGAACGTATTTTTTATTCACGGTTCTACGACGTCATTCTCATGGGCGCTGTAGGACTCTTGACCATAGTGCTTCTGAACGAGAGTGCTATGAACTGTTTATTGTCTCGTTAATACAACCAAGACCGAGTACTGGGTTCGAGTTCGACGAGCTTGCCTCGAGAGAGAGAGAGAGAAGCGTTGTGATAGAGGTTGGGGGGGGGGGGGGGGAAAGGAGAGAGCCAATATGGCAGGTCCCGTTGCTTGCCGTGTGTGTCTCTCATTGGCCAACGCTCCCAAGCCGCTTGCGCGATACTCATGCTCTCCCTCGGTGAGGTGGCTCCCTCCCGTGTTGAAGATGCGAACTTGTCTACATCTCCCTTTTTCAGTCATAAATAAAATTTGTGTCCCGCTAGCGGGATGGTTTTTGTTTCGCTCTCTGGCTCCTGCGAAAAGCGATGCTGTTCCTTCTGCGCTGCATGCCCTCGTCGTCTTGAACAATGTACGACCTTGGCTGCGGGGCTCTAGCGAGTATGACAGCCGGTTTCCAGGTTCCTCGTTCTTGATCTTGAAGGTAGACGTCTTCTCCCGCGTGTAATTCAGGTAGAGGTTTGCCGCCTTTGTTGTAGTACCATTGCTGAGTTCGTTGTTTGTCTCTCAGCCGCTGTTTTACCTTGCTTGGGTCTGTGCTCGTCCCTTGCAGTAGAGATGGATGTGTAGGGATTTCCGTCCTGGTGTGTCTGTTCATGAGCCTTTCAAATGGTGATCCTAGAACTCCATCCCTGGGAGTGTTTCGCCATTCGAGTAGGCCATCGTAGTAGTCTGGCGTTCCGTAGCTGCACTTGGTCACGAGTTTTTTCGACTCCTGCACCGCTCTCTCTGCCATCCCGTTTGACTGAAGATAATACGGGCTGCATGTCACATGTGAAATTCCTCGGTGCTGCAAGCACTCTTTGAAGTCAGCGCTGTTGAATGGTGGTCCATTGTCGGTAACCAACCTGACAGGTAGTCCATGCACGGCAAACATTGCCAGGAAACATTTGATTATCGTCTTGGCAGTGGACCTTTGAAGCTGGGGCACTTCATAGAAAAAGGAGTAATAGTCCACCAACATAATGTAGTGGTGTCCCGAGTGCTGAAACAAGTCCACTCCAACAATCTGCCAGACCCACTCTGTTGGTTCTGTCACTTGAGTAATCACCTTCTGTTGCACGAGGTCATCTAGGTGTCTTTTCAGCTGGTCACGGATGGCTACTGGGACTGTACGTGGCTGTTGCGTAACACCCTGAGCATCTGGCTTGAGCTTCATGTGATACTTGACACCCTTGATTTCACCAAGTCCATGGAAGACGTCCTCGTATTATTTTACTGTCTGGTTGCAGTGCTTTTCCGCTGACGACACTCGCTTGATCAGGTTCAGTCGTTCCGCAATGGTACCGCTTATCGTTGTGGGTACTTCCCGTTTCACGATGTAGAACTGTACGTCGGTACTCTGGTGGCCATGGGCGACTGACAGCAAAATGCGGCCTTCCGCTTTGCTGACATGGCCAAAGAACGAACCTATTTTCGTAGTGACTGCTTGCGGTTTCTGTTTCGTGACTCGTCGCAGTTGAGTTGCAGACATAACAGAACAGTTTGCTCCTGTATCCACCCTGCAGTCAACTGCCTTTCCTGCAACTCTGACTTCTGCACTCCAGAACTGTTCATCACCAACACTGTTGGATAGACCACAAACCAACTTCTCTTCTTCGGAGCTGGAACTGGGAGATTTGCATCGTTCAACATTGCGAACATTCTTCCGTGGTGATGCTCTATTTTTCGGTGGGTCGTTCTTCGCGCGACACACTCGAGCGAAATGTCCCCTCCGACCACAGTTTTTACACTTCGTACCTTTAGCAGGACATGTTCCGCTTGTGTGCGTAGAGTATCCACATTGAGAGCATGTCTCGGACTTGAGTCCATGTACAACGGCAGGCGATGCTCCAGCTTGGATATCTTTGAACTGCAGGGCTCCACGTTCCTCCGTGCGGCACTTATTAAATCACTTGTTCTAAAGTCGGATCGTCGTTGATGAGGCGTTGTTGCAGTCGCTTGTTGGTCAATCCAAGAATGATTCGACTTCTCAACATGCGGTCGTGTAGCTCGCCAAAATCGCGCTGCTTCACCAGCGTGCGCAGCTCGGTAAGCCAGTCATTGAATCGTTCGCCGTCATTCTGGTTCCGTGTGCCGAATACAAAGTCCCTATAGCTCACGTTGATAGCAGGCTTGCAATGCTTTTCAAAAAGCTCCGCTATCTTCTCAACGCGCAGTTCGTCACCTGGGTTTTCGAACGTGAACGTTTTGTAGACGCGCCTGGCGTCTTCCCCTACGACGACTAAGAACGTCGCGGCCTGTACTTCGGCGTCTTGCGACTTCAGAGCAGTGACGGTTGAGAACAAGTTAAATTCTTCCCACCATGTTCTCCAGGATGTCTCCAGGTCTCCGGACATGTCGAGTGGCTTCGGCGGAGGCAGCAAACTTGCGAAGATCCCTCCCGGCATGGGAAGTTGGACGTTCGGACCCCCGCCCGACTGCTGCGTAGTAGCGGTGCCACTTCCTTCCGCCATTTTCTGCGCTGCCGGTCTTCTCTTGCCTTCACTCTTGCGCCGTGCGACTCACATCGGTCTTGACTCCACTTGCGAGCGTTTTCGTGTTCCGCTTCTGAGACCATGTTATGAACTGTTTATTGTCTTGTTAATACAACTAAGAAGACCGAGTACTGGATTCGAGTTCGACGAGCTTGCCTTGACATGGCAGGTCCCGTTGCTTGCCGTGTGTGTCTCTCATTGGCCAACGGTCCCAAGCCGCTTGCGCGATACTCGTGCTCTCCCTCGGTGAGGTGGCTCTCTCCCGTGTTGAAGATGCGAACTTGTCTACAGAGAGTTCGAGACGTAATACTTTAAGGCCTGTATGGGTTTTCGGACTGCTATTATAGATCTGCACTTGGTACTTCTACTTGCTGGTCTACGCGTATTATTTAGGATGGATCGAGGATCGCGTTGATACCCCTGAGTAATCATTTGGTGTTGTTTGGTTTTATTTATTTTTTTTGCTGATGGTGTAACCAGGTCCTAAATAAGGCCCCGACAGAAGACAATATTGCCCTCTTTTGCCCTAACCCGTTGGACGTTTTTGTCTGAAATAAAGAATACGATACAAGAAAATATAATTATTCTGGCGTAACTGAGGGATATTATCCTCGCATTGCAGAGAAGCAGGAATAAATAGTTGAGCTGGTGACAAATATAGTAATCACAAAATCTGCAAAGATCAAAAATATACTCAAAATTTTTTTTCTATTACATTTTACTGATACCCGAAGGAAAAATCCATCAATGTAACCCTTTTTGGCAGTCAATGTTTTCTAGTGGACCGCTGACTGTGCCTGACTGTACGTCAAGCATGTCTGATTGGCCAACAACTTACTCTGACCGACAGTCAAACTCCAGTCAGACTCCACTTGTCGGTTTTCTGATGGTTTCCTGGTGGCAGTCGGCCGCCGCGAAATGCCATCAAGATATCTTGATGGCGATTCTGATTGTACATCGATTGGCTCTGACTGTACGTCAAAAAGCTTTGACGTGCAGACAGACGTACGGTCAAAGGACGTAAAGTTCTTTCGGATACCACTATTTCGTCAAATCTATGAATACGAAAAATAATCTATGCACAAGAAAATGATTTCGGGACGTGAGCCCATAAAACCGCTGATGTTAGAGATATGGCACGCAGCCGACCGACAACCTTGATCAGAAGCCCGCCGTACACGCCAGTCGCTAACTTCGCTTCGCCCATAAAGGCTTCGCCGAGCTTTCATGAACTATCGCTCTCTACTCGTTTTGTTTGCCCGCTTGCTCCAAACTGTCGATCCTGCCCGGACTCTACAATATCTAATGTTTTAGTAGAATTTCTACTCGACAAGACCCAGCCTGTTGTGAGTTCTGACGATGTAAGGGACTTTAGAGGTGTAGTTGAAGACGACAAGGTGTACCAGGTCTACTGGGCCGGAGACGTGCGAACAAAAGGATCGTTCTACGGCGCGAAAGTACTCTACATGGCAGGTGAGTAGAACTGAAGTACGGCGAGTGATGTACGAGTGCTTTGCATAACATGCTGAAGGCTTAATTGCATTTGCAGCCGAAGCATCTTGTATACAACGAATGGTCAAATCGAGTCTCCAAAGCGATGGCATAGCGTAGGGGTTAAGTGGTCGCGGGTTCGACCGCGGTGGTCCTCCTTTTTTTTTTTCTCAAACATTTTGTTTTATCGAGGCATTTGGCGATATTTATTAGTGCGTATAGCTTTACTCTTATATAAAGGCTGCCCTTGCTGATGAAATTCCCTTGGCAGTGGCAGTCAGACGTCATCAGATGGACCATCAGATGACGTCTGATGGTACATCACGTTCCACCAAGGCTGTTGACTGGCAGTCAGTGTCCCAAATTACGTATCTTGATGGAATTTTCAATAGGGTACCTTTATATTAAGAACCCCTTCTTATGTTAACCGCTTTATGGGTTCCATTGAACACTATAAATAAAGTTCAATGCAAGCAATGCATTTCATTTTTTACAGGTCCCCTGAACCGATGTTTCCTTCACCCGGACACTGGAAAATTTGTAAATGTTGGATGGTATGCCCGATATTATTATGATATCCAGGTCAACGAATGTAAAGAGGCGAAAAAGGCTCGGAAGACAATTCCTGGTGACAGGAACCTATTTTTGACTTCCGAGGACTGCGAAAAACATTGCAAACGTGAGTTTTGTCTTCATTTCACTCTGTTCAAAGAAAATGTGCCTTTTACCACGTGGGGCTAACTGTTGAAATATGTATTTAGGAAAATATTCAGTTTTAACTGTGGAAAAACGCAATTTTTGTTAGTAAAAGTTTATAGACATTTGCATCATTCGTGAACGTTCAAAAAGACAGGTCTCACTTTCTCATTTTATTATCTTCACTATATATATATATATATATATATATAAAGCTGGGATACAAAACTATGGTTACACTTAAAATGCATTTTATTCAGTAAAATTATTTCGGTAATATGTTTAACATAAATTGTGAAACGCCAAAACTAGTATTAGGAGCAAAATAGTAAGTTGGGCTGGTTGGTTGTGCATCTCCAATTGAACGCTTAAAAACAAGGGACAAAAGTGAGGAAAAAGCAACATGAGGTGTAACTCGCGACTGAAAGTTTAACTTGAAAAGCAATAACTTAAATAGGGTTTGTGAAAACAACACGTCGTTTACCCTGCCCCCACTCTTTCTGCGAAAATACAAATTCTTTATCAAGAAATGGCGATGATAGCTCGCTGACACACTGGCGTGTGCCTCTTGCTTTTATTTTGAAGACTTCCTTTATCTATCTTGCCGTTTTGTTTCTGCGTCTCTCGGTGATCTGGATGTCCGAAGAAAGCGGTGTGCACCCATATCTAATGCGATGGTGACCCGATAATGACTATTAGGATATGCTAAAAAAAAACAATCTTAGAACGTTCAAGCTGAAAAACAATACCGGGTGTGTGTTTTTGTAGTTATGTTACGCTATGTCATGTTAGCACGTGGCGTCACGTCAAATCAAGTGAGACCTTGCTATGAGATTGGAGCGTCAATTTTTCAGCTAAACTCATCGGGGGAAATGTCACGTTACCTGGCATTATGTGACGTCATGTAATATGTGACGCCGTGACGTCACGTCAAGTGACGGGGTCAGGTGACATTAGCTTACTTGACACCACGACTTGACACATTGACGTTACATTTCCGGCTAAAAAGAGCGGGGAAATTGATTTCACGCGATCTGACGTCAGGTTATGTAGCAGCGTGTTGTAACGTTGCATGACTACTTGATGGGGCCATTGATCACGTGACTCCAACTTTTTCAATAATTTTATCGTGGAAACTGAAGTCATGTGACTTCTTGGTATCACGTGATTGGACGCCTTGGCACCGTGACGCCAATTTTGCGGCTAAGTTTAGCGGGGACAAAGTTTAGTGTTCTAAAACAAATTTAAACTATCGCTACTTATATACTGCATTTTATGCGTTATACAACTGGGATGATAAAGGCTATCTATCGGTGATTTGGTCCCTTTTAAACATTAGAGGTCCCCACATGAATACTCGGGTCTCGTGAAATGAGAGCCAGAGGAGCGGACAGGTGGCTAAAATCAATGCTTAAATGGCGACGGATATGCGCCGAAATGATTGTTTATTTGATTTGAAAGGAAATCGGTGTCTTATTATAGGTTGCCGAATGATAAAATCCGTGTCAGTGATTTTTAGGATTTTGTCAACGTCGTATATGAGAGCAAGCTAGAAGAGCAACAAACTAATGCGCCGCGTACAACTCAAGGACTAAGCTATCTAAAATTTTGTTCTGGGATTGCATAATTTGCCAGGGCCGCTGCTTGCCTATTGTGGATTGAATATTTGCATGTCTCATGCATTTATCTCCCGATTGGGAAAAGCTTCCGCCTGTAGTATCTGTATTAAAAAAAAGCTGATTTAAGAGTAACTTACTTAGTAACGCCTTCAATAATACCCAATTTTTTCAGCTTAAACTCAAGGCACCTCTGTAGAAAGTAGTCAAAGTTACAAAAAATAGTTCGTTAGGTTTGCGATGTTCGACAACACTGTAGGAAAGCAACAAATAAGTGCTATATTCCTAGAAAGTTCTTTTGTGTATGTACATAAATAGCTATCAGATGCAATTTACATAAACTAATTTCAAGTTTTGGCAAATTTTTTCCAGCAAAACACGAAGAGAATCATGCGATTTAAGCTATCAAGATGAAATACATACTTTTTTTAAACCAGCGAAGACGTCAGCAGGAATATTCGCGACATTACTGGGACACCAGGAATCGCAGATTTAATGAGAGCGAATAAATTGTTAAACTGGATTCCTGCCGAATGGTGACTATGTGAACTAGAGAATTTCAAATGTCGCTGAAATGGGCACCTAATTAAAACCTCGTGTAATTGTGTTTTTTTTTTAAATGACGCCAACTAGAACAGTTAGCAGCCAGCAGTAAGTAGATAATCAGCAGCAAGCCATCAATAAGTGACTATATATAGTTATATGTAATAGCGTCGATATGGTTTTATGCAACGCAAAATGTCGTCTGCTTAACTGCATGGAATGAAAAATACGTACACCCTCTTCGTACACGTCATGGCGTCTGAAGACCGAACGCCCGATGCTGGCATCCGGCGCTCGAACGCCAAACCGTACGCGAGGAGCAAACGACGTTCTTGTTCACTCTAATTGAAGAAAGGCAGTGGTTGGATAAACGGGCAGCTAGCCTTTGGGTCTACCCACTAATCCTTCCAATCAGAGCTCGGCATTTGGACATGAATACTTCAAGTAATCATAACATTACTTCGTTATCTCTCCATAAAGAAAGCGGCACTACGTCACTTACCGAAGGATTATAATCGGCTTGCGGTCTTGAATCGAGCGAAGGCTACATTTTAACCATGAATATTTCAAAGATCGTTGTCTGGTCACGAATGGCCTCAATTGGGTTCGGCAGCAAACATTACTCCCGTTATGATCAAGTAAGTCATTCATTGAAAGGTGAACTATAAAATTTAGGTTAATTAGTGAACATAATGTGACGTTTATCCGCTCATATAATGTGTGCCGAGCACACGAAACTACGGTGAAGACGGCACCCACGTAGCAATTACTGCCTTTTCTAAAAACAACTGTAAAAAAGAAGCCCCGACGCAACGCTCACCTACATTTTTAAACCTTGAAGAATAAAAAAAAAAGTATATACACGTGTACATCCGACGCTACTGTAATGTTTATGTAGGAGCTTCCACGTGACCACTGCGTAGAGGGTACAGCGTTGGCGGTTACATTGTAATTCTTATAATCAAACGTACAAATTTGCAAAAACGTACCCTCTACTAATGAGTACCCGACTAAGAGTATATGGCCGTGATACGGACAATCGTACTGACATTATTAATTGCTCCTGTAGATAAGCCGCTGTTTGGAGTATGAGACACGCTCCGAAGCATAAGCTTCACGAAGCTGATCATGATAAAGAGCCAAGTTTTAGGAGCGAGTATTTTCAAAGTTCATTTGCGAGATGATTCCTGGGAGCGGTAATGGATCGCGTATCCAGAGGATACTCTTTTGTGTTCGTGCCTGTTATTGTACCCGACTTGACGCTGTCTGGTGATGTAAGACGGTCTAGGTAAAGGTGAGTTACTGCTTTTGTTTCCTGTTACCCTGGGTACCTTTCTAGAAACAAAAATAAAATGAAATAACGGATCAGCTACTGACGAATTGTGTCGGTTGCGCATTCTTTTCAGGGGAGAAAATGCGCAGCTTATTTGCCGTATTTGCGACGTCGGCGTCAAGAAATACGCGCCATAGCTGTTTCGGGGTGAAAGCTTGTTATATGTACCGCTTTCAATCAAAATCGAGCAAATTTCCAGCAGGCGCAAGCCATGTTCTGAGACCTTTCTTCTGTAACCTTTAATGACAATTTATTTTCGGGGAGAGAAAGCGCAGCTTGTTGGCCGTATTCGCGACTTCAGCCTCAAGAAATACGCGTCATAGCTCCTTCAGAGAAAAAGGTTACACAGTCAAATACTAATCTTAACTTATGGTGTTTTTTTTCTTCTTTTGGGGGGTGGGGAGGGGGGGGTTTAGGGGGGGGGGGGAGTTTGAGAGTTGAGCAATGGCCGTATGTTTGTGCGCTCCTTCTTGTGACAAGATATGCCCTTTTTATTTAATCTCGTTCACGCCCCGTATTTACCATAATTAACCGGTGTGCTGAAAAAGAACAACAACAAACAGCAAACATTACAAGCTGGATTTCAAAAACCATATAGAAAAGGAAAACAAGGATGAATGACACTTGCGGTCAAAACATGAACACCTCCCAGTGGTGTGGCCAAAGTTGCTACAGGTTTTCTCCAAATTATGGTCAATTTAATCCGAGTGTCATTCAGTTTAATTCAAGCGACATTCAATTTAACCCTATTAAGAATTTAATCACGGGGTCAGTCAATTTAATCTACTATATATACATGCACGTTTTTGGTTGAGTGGCTTCTTTCGCTTACACTTTCGATAAATTAGAGTAAATGATTATACAATTCAGTTTTGTTCTGGAATACTGATATTTTGATCTCTATTTCGATCACATGGAGTTAGTGTTCTCGCGATTGATATGTTGATTACTATTTTGGTAAACTTGAGTCGTTAGTGCCGCTCTGGACTTATTTGAGCTGAATTGACGTTGTGTTTACTCTTTCGCATTACGTCGACTTATTTTTGAAACAGTTCACATAATGTAAGTACAATTGAAATTGGTGATCATTCTTTTTATTACTTCTCGCTATCATTCACACAACTGACTTAAATACTTGGGCCTATTAATTTTACAGTTTAGAAAATAAAGGTTCAACAAACATTTTTATTAATCTCTTGATTTCTCCGCATAATTGTTGACAAAAATATAACTTCCTAGAAACTCCTTTGACATTCTGGTTTTATAGGTAGTATTGCCACGAACAATTTTATGGAAGCAAAAGTTTAGTTACTCTGTCAATAAATAAAACAGAAATAATAAACCCAGGGACGGACAGAACAGCACCTCTTTCGACTTTCAACGCAAAAGCTATTTGTGTTGAAAGTCAGAAGAGGTGCTGTTCTTTACGTTCCTATGTTTATTCTTTCTGTTTTATTAAACTTCACCAACGCGCTCACGTTTAACTGAGTCAGTCGATAACTTTTAATTAATATATATACAAAGGCGACTTCATATGCTAAGCTTTGGGTTACTCGTTTGATCAATCCGCATTACTATTTACCCAATTGACTTTAAAACTAAATTAACTTAGTGGCTACTTTTTATCTTTCTCTGATATTTTAGTCCCACAACTGGGTTTATCAGCATTATTGACATATTGACATATATTGATTACTTTGAGCGACTAGTGACCCATTTAACTTTACTTTGGCCGACTTGACATAACCCTCGTTTATTATTACTTTCAGCTTTTATACAACCAAGCAGTCTTGTACACGTTACTAAAAAAAGTAATCGATTACAATTACTATTACTTTTGGCTAAAAGGTATTCGATTAGATTACTTGATTACTCGACGGCAAAAGTAATTGGACATTACTTAAATAAGTAATCGTTACTTTTCCGATTACTTTATTGTGTGAAGACACATCTTTAGCGCTCATAACAATGAACTATTTCCAACCTATATTTCACATTTGCACAAGTATTGAAGAAGAAAAATTGGCCCGGTCTTCGTGGTCGTTGCACCTTCACAATGCGGACACAAGCATAGAATTCGTTTGAAGACGTTTAATGATTTGGGCGTTCGCCAGTGTGTGTGTGTGTGTGGGGGGGGGGGGGGGGGGAGCGGAGGGGGTTCTAGATCTTGTTAAGCTTGAGCAAGGGTTGTCGCTCAAAGTTTGCATCGGTCATTTTATTATTCACATGTGGATGAGCTGGCATGTTATTCAAAAGAGCAGCAGCTCCAGGATTTGAAACGGATCATGTGTAGTATCCATTAGCGGAAGAGATCGCCTTGACCACTTCTCAGCTCGAAACATTGCTTGTCACAAAGACCACGTAGGGGAATTGGGGAAATATTTCAACTGCCTTTGTTACACTTTGCACCCGCTTTAGTCATTCTTCGGTTCTGGTTCTCCTACGGGCTGCGAGTAGGTACCCTTAGCAGGATTTTTTTTTTATTTCTGTGTGTGTCTGCATGAGAGGGCTAGTTTGAACGAGGGACTCACAAAGCTACATTCTGCTTCCTCAGACGTCGCCCTGAATGGCCTTTGTCACGCACTGTAGCTTTCCTGGGGCTTCCCACTCCCAGTGCCAGCTCGAAAAAAAAAAACAAAACAAAAAAACGGACATTCCACAGAAACTGTACATAGAAAGAGATTGACCTCGTTTCCTACAGCTCCGCAAAAATCTTTCTTTTTTCCGTTAGAAAAAAAAGAGCAAATTTTATTTTTGTCATTTCATAAAAAAAAGGCGTGTGCCGGGGGGGGGGGGGGGGGGGTGTCCCGTGGACAAATTGTAACGGTTACAAGTAATTTTATTACTCCAAAAAGTAATCAGATTACTCTCGTGATTACTGCCTAATAAAAGTAATCAACTGATTACAAAATTACTCCAAAAAGTAATTGATTACAAGTAATTTGATTACTTGTAATGCGTACGGTACAAGTCTGCAACCAAGTAATTTATTTTCAGCTCAGTTGCCATTATGATCAAGCTTTTAATTACTTCGACTTACTATTGACCGGATCGAGTTTGATTCAGCCTAATTGGTATCATGATTACTCTTGACATCGAGCAAATAATAGACTAACTGATTATTATGAGCTCGAGTCCCATTATGATTATTCCTTTGGTTACATCGAGTAACTGTTGACCCCATTGGCTCTAAATCGCCCTAATTGACATCTTCATGATTTGATCAACTTGAGCTAATATTAAACCAATTGATTTGTTATGAACTTAATTGATGCTATGATTAGTAGTTTGGTTACTTCGCGTTACTATTTACTCAATAGACTGTCTTCCTAATTTACATTGTGGTGTCTATCTTGATTACCTGCGGTTATTATGCAACCAGTTAATCTATTATGAGCTCAATTCACATTATTATTACTCTTTTGACCACTTCGAGTTAGTTTTGACCCAATTAACTTTAATTTGGCCTTATTGGCATTATGACGAGTCTTGATTACTTTGGAATAATGTCCAACCAAATGAAGT